TATTGATTTTAGAGAGAGAAGAAGGAAGAGAGAGAGAGAGAAACATCATCAGCTGCTTCCTGCAGTCCCCCCTACTGAGGATTGAGGCTGAAACCTGGGCATGTTCCCTGACCAGGAATCACACACACAACCTCTCTGTACATGGGATGACCCTCAACTAACTGAGCCATACTGTGAAAAGTCAGATGAACAGAGACTTGGAGAGCAATTTTAAAATCTTGCAGCCACAGAGAGATGAAAATGAAGGCAAAGTGTGTGTGCACATGTGTATGTATGTATATGTATGTGTGTATGTGTACATGGTTGTTTGTATGTTTTGCATGTGTGCATATGTGTGTGCATATGTGTGTATACGTGTGTGCATATGTGTGTATATGTGATCTTGAAGAAAAGAATGCAACTAGTATTCATCTCACAATCTAGAGAGTTTGTTCCTCTTTTTTTTTAAAAGGATGTTAAAAAAAAAGTTTTTATTGATTTTAGAGAGAGAAGAAGGAAGAGAGAGAGAGAAACATCATCAGCTGCTTCCTGCAGTCCCCCCTACTGAGGATCGAGGCTGAAACCTGGGCATGTTCCCTGACCAGGAATCACACACACAACCTCTCTGTACATGGGATGACCCTCAACTAACTGAGCCATACTGGCCATGACTGTTCATTCATTCTTTAAATCATTAATTCACTAATTCATTATTCATTTACCACACCCTTATGGAACAATTTAAGGCAATACACTGCCTCAGTCACTGAAGAAGCTTTCTACAAGCTCTCCATGTAAGTCTACAATAAAATTGGGAGGGAAAGACTTGCATAATGTGAACCAGTTGAGTAATAATAGAAGGAGTAAGTAATTGGGTTAAGAAATAATTGATTAATACAGACATGAAATAATAGGGGAATACAAAAATAGGATCATGGTGGTGGGTTATTCGTATTAGAACTGAGTTTTCTGGAAGACATGCAATTAAACTGCTCCATGAACTCAATTCATGCCCAGGATTTGTAAAGCATCTAGTGTTATGAGTGCTGCTGTGCTGGGCTAGGTGTGGTAAAGGATACCTTACACCCTGGAATAGGAGACAGATGTTTATGTAGAAATACAAGGTTCTAATGGTTAGGTGTGGGAAGTAAAAATACAAGTGAAGAACCAGTGAAGAGTCAATGGGGGAAATACAAAAATAATGGGGGCAAGAGATGGGAGCATCAGAGCAGGTTTGCATTGAGCTGGTGTGAAACTGCTTATAGGGTGAATTCCCTTTAAGGCACAAACCTTAAAAGAACATTAGGATTTAGCAGTTACTTATTGACTATAGAGAGGCCGGGTAGGGCAGAGAAGTGAACGAGGAAGAAGAGTGAAAAATAAGAAACAGAGACTCATTAGGGGAATAGGGGGAGGCAGTTTGGGTGAGGAAATGCATGCCGGTGGTTTTACACCTTCAAGGAAGTGCAAAAGCAATGTGGTAGGTCAGAGTTCAGGTGAAGGGACAGGACTTACCTTTGAAAAGGGGAAAACCCAGCTGGGCATGGATATCCAGGCAATCCATGTCCACGTGCCCCTCCTCTCCCACCTACAACACTGTAACAGCCATTCTCCCATGATCCCTAGGTCTGATGCCAGAGGGGCAAGTCCTAAGGGAAACTCATTCAAGCCTAGGGCTCTTGGCTTCATGCAGGACAGAATTTAAGACAGGAGCCAGACAAAAGGTTAAAGTGGAAAGCGGGGTTTATCAAGCAGAGAGGACAAGCAGGAAAAGCCACTCCATAGACAGAGTAGCGGGCTCTCCTCACCAGAGAAGGAAGAGACCTCAGCTGTCTCTAGAGGTCGAGCTTCTATCTGTTTGTAGTTTCTATAGAAAAGTGACGGTATGGGAAAATAGAATGGGGAAACAAAAACCATTGGGAGTAACTTTAGCCTTTACAAGGTGTATTTTGTGGTCTGTTTTCCCTTTAGGGTCTGAGTAAAAGATAAGGGATGGGTGAGTAGCTTTAATGAATCTTTGCAGGAATTTTCTTTGTCTGGAGGCTCTTCGTGGCCTTCTTGCATCTCAGAGGCCAGCCGAGTTCTGCCAGGCAGCACGGAGCAGGCCCCTGACTTGACTTTGTTTGACTCCAGTTGATTTGTATAGTTCTCATGCCCCTCTCCTATGGTAGACCCATTCTCCATCTAGTGGTCAGAGAGATCTTATGAAAGTGTCTGTCAGAATGTCTCACTCGTGGGAAATCTCCCCACTAGCATGAAAGCTAAATTCCTCGTTATCTCTCCAACGCCAGGGAGTCCAATTCATCAATGGCATTGAACGCCTATGTCACCTCCTCAGAGTCCTCGGCCCAATAACCCAGCTAAGGCAGCTTTTTAGTCACTGTCTACCATATTACCTTATGCTATCTTCTTAAAAAAAAAACCATATATATATATTTGATTTCAGAGAGTAAGGGAGAAGGAGAAAGAGATAGAAATGAAGAGAGTCATTGATTGGCTGCCTCCTACACACCCCACACTGGAGATCGGGCCCACAACCTGGACATGTGCCTTAACCAGAAATCAAACAGGTGATGTCTTAGGTCAATGCTCAACCACTGAACCATACCCAGCTGGGCTTACTATCTTCTTCATAGCACATATGGTGCCTGTCATATCTCAGATGTTTTCTTTATTAAAAATTGTTATTAAAAATTATATATTTACCCTCACTAGAATAGAAGCTTCATGAGAAAAGGGATTCTCTCAAATTAATGTGTCTCTACCGTCTACACTAACACCTGGCATAGAAGGGGCTGAAAAAAATGCATTTATTACCATCTTTCATTTTTAATTGTACAGTTCAGTAGCATCAAGTATATTCACATTGTTGTGCAACCAGTCTCCAGAACTTCATCTTGCAAAACTGAAATGCCATACTTATTAACCAACTCCCTACTTCCCTTTTCCCCAGTCCCATTCTACTGTCTGTTTCTATGGATTTGACTACTCTAGATACCTCTTATAAGTGGAATCATATAGTATTTGTCCTTTAGTAATTGGCTTCACTAAGCATAATGTCCTCAAGGTTTATCCATGTTGTAGCATGTGTCAGAATTTCTTTCCTTTTTCTTTTTTTTATATTTTATTGATTTTTTACAGAGAGGAAGGGAGAGGGATAGAGAGTTAGAAACATCGATGAGAGAGAAGCATTGATCAGCTGCCTCTTGCACACCCCCTACCGGGGATGTGCCCGCAACCAAGGTACATGCCCTTGACTGGAATTGAACCTGGGACTCTTCAGACCGCAGGCCGATGCTCTATCCACTGAGCCAAACCGGTTAGGGCTTTCTTTCCTTTTTAAGGCTGAATAATATTCCATTGTTTGTATATACCAGTGGTCAGCAAAACGCAGCTCACGAGCCACATGTGGCTCTTTGGCCCCTTGAGTGTGGCTCTTCCACAAAATAACACGTGTGTGGGCGCAAGTACAGTGCGATTGAAACTTCATGGCCCATGTGCAGAAGTCGGTTTTCGGCCTGGGCGAGTCTATTTTCAAGAAGTGGCGTTAGAAGAAGTGGGGTTGTCGGTCGGTCCGGCGACGGGAGACTCGACACAGGCAGACCACGGGATACGCAGCGCGGGGGAGGCGCGCGTGATTCATGCAGGAGTTGAGTGAGCCAGTCAGTCAGCAGTCTCATGTGCAGTGGTTAGTGCTAATCGCGTCCGCAAATCACGCGCAGGTGACCAAAGTACCTACTCGAAGCATAAAGTTACCTGTATTTTTCCAACCAGCTGCAAATCCTACAGGTATTTTTGTCATCAATTTAAGAATTGTAATTATTTTGTGTTGGTGGCTTTATTATTATTTTAGCAAAGGCCAGCTTAAGAGTACCGTAATTAAGTTAATAACAATGTTCCTACCTATATAGTTTAAGTTTAAAAAATTTGGCTCTCAAAAGAAATTTCAATCATTGTACTATTGATATTTGGCTCTGTCGACTAATGAATTTGCCAACCACTGCTATATATCACATTTGGTTTATCCATTAATTTATTGATGGACACTTGGATTGGGTGAGTAATGCTGCTATAAATACAGATAGAATATTTTTGACTGACTGATAATAGTCTGGAAACTAAGGCTCTTAGTTATACCTGTAGATTGTTGACATTAAGCAATTTCCTATTAACATTGGGTTACAATGACCGCAAAGGTACCTTACAGTTAGATCTAAGATACAAGATGCCAGCAAATAAAGTCCTGTTTCGGTTCTTTTGATCTCAATGGTTTTTTCAATCCTGTGAGATGGTGATGGAGCCTCATGGGATTTGGTGCCTCTGGCACAAGAGTCAATGTCTTCACCTGCAGTCTCATCAGATCCCCTTCACCTGACTGACTGCTTTCTCATTCTCTGCACATCAACCTCAGGGAAGGTTAAGTGTGATTTGAGCTCCAACATGAAGATGAGGACTTGACCAAGATCTCGTCTGGTTGCCTTCCTCACTCTCTAACCTCAAGTATTTGGGGAAGGTAGGTGTCTTAGAAAATCTCTGTATATGTTAATTTTATAAAAAATAGAAAAACATAAATTGCATTAAGCAATAGGAATACATTTTATTTGTAGCAAATATGTATATATAGAAGATTCATGAAGATCTACTATTGGCTGAATTGTGATAAACTTGGTACAAAAACCTCCAACAGATGTGTCACTAAAAATAAGATTCACAATACATTGCATTGGTGTTTGGTTGAATTAACTCACTCAAGCCATTGTTTTGGTTTCATAGCTCAGAGTCATATACAGTATACATTTTGATTTCCATTAGCCTTGAGTTAGATACTATGGCACAAATGTAAACAATATGAACCATACATTGGTTCATAACCAATGTATTAGAATTAAGGCAATAATCCTAAAATAAGTTCACTGAAATACCATTACAATGTCCTCTAGGCTAAAGCTACAGGAAGATTATACTTTTCAAAACTGGAAAATAAGAAATTTTGTAATTTGAATGGCTTTATTTAAGATAAGGGACATACTGGAAAGCCACACCAGTGTTAATTTAATGCAAAAGGCGTATCTTTTCATTCTTCATTTCACCAAAATACCAGATTGTGATCATCTGATCTAATTGACCTATTAGGTGTTTTTACTTTAATAGATGGTGTTTGTCATTGCTTTGACACTAGAGAATATTTCCACATGGGCACCAGGGAGTGTTGAAATAAAAATGTGTGTTTAGGGGTCATGATGGTCCAAACAGCCAAGAAATAGATTCTTTTCAGACACTGGTTATTTTAGATAATCCCTCACCTCTTTTGTTGTACATTAATGCAGTTTATAGGACACCCACAGTAATATGCTCTCTGAATAACAGTAATCTCCTTGCAATATAAATATACTGAAAGCAGGCATATAATTTAGCTATTCAAAAAGTATATACTTTCTTTTATTAATAATTCTCTGCTACTATAAAATATAATAATAGTCTCTCACACATGGCACTTTTGACACGTTCATAAAGTGTTTGTTTCTCATTGAAGGAAATATCTGCTTTCCACATTGGTAAAACATATTTATGTATTCCACAAGCGCTGTATCGCGTAAAATGGAAATTGGTTTCATTTTCCATTTATATTAAGAATAATCTTCAAAGTGTCTTGCTAGTTCGCTGTGTTTCATTTTCTCTGTGAACAGTTCATCAAATACTCTCTCCTGCTTTGAAGTAAAGTAGTTTATCCAATCACCCACAGCTCCTGGAAAAATTGGAAATGTATCAGACAAGAACCAATTTAAATGTATAGTAGTCACAAAAGAAAAATGTCAGATTTATAATAAAATGTGGACAATTTCACCTCCTGGTGATAAGATGATGGGGAAATTATTCTTTTCATTTGCTTATCTGTTGTTTCTAATTTCTTTAGTAATAGTTGCATGTCAATTTGTAGAGTTTAAAAAGTTACTTCTTAAAAAAAAAGGAAGATTAAAAATACACAAATGTGCCCAGCCAGTGTAGCTCAGTAATTGAGCATTGACCTATGAACTAGGAGGTCACGGTTCCATTCCTGATCAGGGCTTGATCCCCAGTGGGGAGGGCCTGCAAGGGGCAGCCAATCAATGATTATCTATCATCATTGATGTTTCTATCTCTCTCTCCCTCTCCTTTCTTCTCTGAAATCAATAACAACATATTTTTTTTAATATATTTTATTTATTTTTTACAGAGAGGAAGGGAGAGGGATAGAGAGTTAGAAACGTTGACGGGAGAGAAACATCAATCAGATGCCTCCTGCACGCCCTCTACTGGGGATGTGCCCACAACCAAGGTACATGTCCTTGACTGGAATCGAACCTGGAACCCTTCAGTCTGCAGGCTGATGCTCTATCTACTGAGCCAAACCAGTTAAGACAATAACAACATATTTTAAAAATATACAAATGTCCTAAGTTTTATGATAGCAGGCAAAAATTATCTCACCTAAACCTAATCAAAACCTAAGGCAGACTGTGGATAGAATGAGGCTTCATTTATTTCCTGTCTGTGCACCTCCAGAGCAATAGCTGTGCTGATAACACATCACAGGGGTGGGTAATTGGTCTCATTTTGAGGAAATTTATCTTACAATATTGATAACAGAGAATTGAAAATAAAATTGAAATAAGATAAATACAGTTGATCCTTGAACACTGCAAGGATTAGAAGCATCCACCCTCTCCCTAGTCAAAAATCCATGTATAACATTTGGTTCCCCAAAACTTAACTACCGATAGTCTACTGATGAAGCCTTACTCATAATATAAACAATTGATTAACACATATTTTGTATATTATAGACATTATATACTGTATTATTTCAATAAAGTAAAGTAGAGAAAAGAAAATGTTATTAAGAAAATCATAAGGAAGAGAAAATACATTTACAGTACTTATTGAAAAAAAGAATCTGTGTATGAGTGGGCCTGCGCAGTTGAACCCATGTTATTCAAGGGATAACTGTACTTCACGCAGTCCATCGGCCTCTCCTGTTCTTTCGCGTCACCCTCTCAGCCTTGGCACAGCCTCAGAACTGCCCTTCTCACATCCGTTAGGCACACTGGCCAAGCCCCAGCCCTAAATCTTGCCCACCCTGGTCTATTGTTTTTTCTGGCCCTACACTTCATCCCGGGGTCTAGGTGCACTGAAGCATTGCCTTCCCCCGCCCTTCCTGCCCCTCCCCCACACCATTGCAGACAGTCATAAATCATTCTCTATTATATATTTTTGCCAACTAGTTTATAAACTCTTTTGAATTATGGACTGTGATGTATTATTGTCCATGTGTATTCCTGCAGTACTGAATCCAATGCTGACTATAGAGTAGATGCTCAATAAAATCTCTGGTTTGATTGAATGTCAGACAATGTCACCTACAGCAAAGAAATTTATTTATATTACAACTTAAGAAATGTTTGGTGTTGATTCCTCATCCAAAAGACCGAGTTTAAAAAGAAGTAAAGTAGAACTCTTCTGTTTGCAAAAAAAAAGAAAGGAAGGAAGGAAGGAAGGAAGGAAGGAGGGTGCACAGCAAACTTGGGTGGGTGGGGACTTGCAACGTCAGGGGTGGGGCCATGGCAGGGGCCTCTGCACGCCTGCGGCAGGGGAGGGCTGATCAGCAGCCATCACAGCTGCTGTGAGGCCTGGAGAGAGAGGCAGGGCCTGATCTGCAGCCACAGTGAGGATATCCTCAGGGAGGATAAATAAAAAAGAGAGAGAGAGAGAGAGAGAGAGAGAGAGAGAGAGAGAGAAAGAAAGAAAGGAAGGAAGGAAGGAAGGAAGGAAGAAAGGAAGGAAGGAAGGAAGGAAGGAAGAAAGAAAGAAAGGAAGGAAGAAAGAAAGAAAAGAAAAGAAAAGGAAGTATCAGAGGGAAGATCCCAGAGTCAGGAAATGACATAATGACATTGCTTCTAAAGCACCCCACTGCTGCCTTCTTTCTTTTGACCTGACTTCTGTTTGCTTGGGTTTTGATTTATTTTTTCACTCTGATTTTTTTAAAAAAATCTTTTTAAAATAAAATAGTAGCTATATATGTAGGTTAGAGGAATTACATATAAGCAAAAGAAGATAACAAGTCAAGGAAATGTACTCAGCTAACATGGCTAAAAAAACTGGTTGGCATGCATTCTTCCAGATGTTCTTCTTTGCAAACATATAAATGCATATAAACCACATTTTAAGTCACACAGTTATAACCTAAGTTTCCCCTGCTTGTTATGCTTTATCATCTTCCCATATTAGTATTTATGTGCCAACAATGAACGTTAGGGAGAGTAGGGTAAGACTGTTTGGATTCAAGTTTTGACTCTACCAGCTACTAGTTGCATGTCTTTGGACAAATTATTCAGGTGTTTGGTGTCTCAGTAAAATGTGAATAATAGAAATACCACTTTCAGAAGTCTGCTGTCAAAATCCAGACAAACCAAGTAGTGTGCCTGGCACATAGCAAAGCACTCAGCAAATGCTAGTTATTTTTACTCAATAGCTTTCATGACTCCATAGGAAACCCCTATATGGATGTGACTTAATATGTTTATTTTATTTTTTCCTCTTTTCTTTTTTACTTAATATGTTTAACAGTTTCTGATTAGTGACCTTTTAAGTACATTCTAGGTTTTTATTCTTATAAGCAACATTGCTACATACTTCCTGTTCACACGCCTTTCCATACCTATAATTCTCCCCCTAGATTTTCGTATGTCAGAGCCCTCAAACTTCTGACATTTATGAAGACTAGCCTTGCTTATCACCTTATCCTGGCCCCATAGTCATTTCCTAGAATATCAGCTCTATTTCTGAGTTTAAAGTAAAGACGCTGCAGGCACGAATTCGCCTCTGTAAAGTGAGGATTATCTCTCTGTGCCACGGATTCTGAATCAACGACTTCAGTAGTTTCTTTGAAACTCTTACTTTCAGAGGATGGATCCCCCACCCCCAATCCACCCAGCAAACATCCTTTGTTTAGTTCCTCGAATAGTCCAAATTTACCACTGGTGCTCATGGCGACTAGTATCAGTGAGGATTTTCTACTATCAGCCCTCTGTGCTTTGTTAGGTATAAGATAAAGAAACCACTTTTAGATAGAACTTAAATGCATTCCAATGAATGTTATCAGCCACAACTTTGTTGATAGGACTTCACCTGGAAATACCTGCTAGGATCACACGCATGGCAGGTCAGAGATGAACTCTATTATCATTAGAGTAAAAGTTCTCAAACTTGTATGATAAGATGTGTGGATACTGAGAATTAGCTAATCAGATCTCAAAGTGCAGTGATGGAAGATGTCAGCAGCAGCACTGGATTCCAGTAGCCATCAGAACTTCATTTCTCATCATCCTCTTTACCATGGTCGCTCCCAGTCTCTTCCTGTTTTTCTCCCTTTTGCTCATTTCACCTTCCTTCATGCATCCTATTCTAAACACTTTGTCTTCTCTTTATCTTCTCACTCCCACTCTTAACTTTTTCTGTACCCTGAGTCTCTCTCAAGCTCCCATATCATCTTGCTGTCGTCCTCCACTATCAAACTTCTTAAAAGAGTGCCCCTTATTTGCTGTTCCTTTCTTTATTTCTCATTTCTTCAAACCCCTCAACCTGGCTCCCATCCCCACTCTCAGAATTCACGAATGATAAATCGCCATGGTTGACCCTGTCTTTCTTCTCAATTCTGGCTGATCTCCTTTCTCGGCTTGTCTTGGGCTGTTTCATTCCCATTTATGTCAGGTTCCTAGAGCTTCCCCTTCTGTCCCTTTCTCCACTATGCCTTCCTACTCACCCTGAACAATTTTACCAAATTCCACAACCTGCTGGTGGCTCCTACACTGACTTCTAAGCTGAGCTCCCCTCAACAGGCTCACTGCCAGTGTCCCGATTACCAACCACCATCAATGTTTCGTATCTGGACTATTACAACAACCTCTTTACTGGACTTTCTGCCCCAGCTTTCAATCTCTTCTAATCAATTTTCCACACATGTCTGACCATATCAGGTCCCTTCTTAAAGGAACAAACAGGCCAGGAAAAAAAAAAGACCACTGAAATCCATCAAAGCTTTTGCTCTATGGCCCCCATGCCTTCATCTTCCTCGTTCTGCTTCACACATCACACACCATTTTAGTGCATCTGGTTCTGAGCTTCTTTTCTTGCTGTTAGCTTTCACTACCCAACCTGCTTCTAGGTTACACGTTAGGACTTAGCAGAGATTTATTTCCTTCTCTGTGTGTTTCCATTCAGAAGCACGTCCTTAAATAACAATCCCAGCTCTCTCTCCGCCCCTTACTTACTCCTGCAGGGTAAGTTATTTGATTGGTGAGTTTGGGAAGAGACACTGTCCACACTCTTCTGTTCCTTCCTCTCTCCTGAAGAAAACATGTCATGTACCGTGCTCTAAGCGACCAGCTCCGGTGTGGGGACAGGACTGCCTTTGATTCACTGTGACTCGTAGCATGTTTATAAAATTCCAGGCAACTTATTAGCAAACACATTGGTCTGAAGATCTGAGACACATTCTTCAAATAACTGTGTCATTTCTATTTGCCACCTGTGTTTTTCTCTCAATTGGGTCCTAATTGGGCATGAACATCTCAAAGTCTGGAATAATGCAATTTAAGAATTTCACCACTGATGGATGACACTGTGTAAGCTGTTGTGCAAGCAACGGGATGCACGATGGTGAAATGGGGGCTGAAAAGGTAAAATAGAACTACTTCCAAACAGAAGCCCCAGGCAAAGCACCACCGCCCTTTCTGACTTACCTTTCCTAAATACCAGGTTCTTATTCGATGTGAGGGCACAGATGGTCTTGTGTGGATCACAGTTTTCTTTGGCTGCATTATTTTTCATTTCCTTGAACGATGATTTCCAAGCAATGTGATTGATTTCGCTTTCACTCACATTTATACCGAGGAAAGTCGATATTTTCTTTATGCTTTTAGAAAGATCCTGAGCAATAAGCAAATACATAAATAAGTGTTACCCATCAAAACACTAAATTCATTCCCTCAAACATGAAAACAGAATTCATTGATTGATATCCTGTATTATTAGCTGAATTTGACTTAAATTTTGATTGTTGACATGTTAGGAAAGACTTACTTTTTTCATTTCTTCATAGAATATAAATAGAATGTTTTCATCATTTTTGTGGTCTTCCCAGCTTAAAATGTGATCAAACCAGGATCCATACACAACTAGGAGAAAAGTGAATTGCTGAGTTAATACCACGCATTATGGCTTTGGGTCCCTGGGGTCTTCCCACTTCTGCAAAGTTGTCAAAGCAAGGTGCATACATCTTAGACACCGGAATGAAGAGCTCAGAAGAGCTCAGTCTCACTACTGTTTCAACTAAATACAATATTGTGAAATGAAGTAGGGTAGTGACACCTTTTGATAAAGCTGTGTAGGGTTTTTCCTTATTTTTAATAACTTTTTTTATCATCAGGAAAAGTGACAGCAGAAATACAGATACACATTTTCCTAATAATTGTGTTCTGATAACTGCTCTAGATCTTGGGAGACATAGAGAAACATTGAGAATTTGTCATTTTCTTTCTGTAATGTGACATGCTTTTCATAATTGTAAGTGCTTAGCAGAAAAAGTTATAAACTACCCCCCCCACACACCCAAAAAATAATTCTATCAGGCATCTTAGTTCAAGGTTGAGAATTACAGACTCAGGGATTTGTAAGTAGTTGATATTGTCTCTTTAATGTTTTGTTAATTTGACAGACTTAAAAATCTCCAGGGCTTCAAAGTAAAATACTATCATGCAAAGTAACCTCTATAGTTGTGATGATTAAAAGCAAACAGTGAGCAACTTGTCAGCACACACACACACACACACACACACACACACACACACAATGACTAGTTTGACAATCTAAAGCATAAAATAATAATTTAATATACATCTTTCCAGGAATCTTTATCATGCAAAGATTTGATACTAGCTAGTGCCCCAGTCATAAAAGAACTACTCTACTAGTGATTTCCTGAAGATCTGCTGACTATTGGATTCATTTTAATAAAAAACATTTATTAAGCCAGCACTGTGCTATATACTAGTACAGTTTGAACATTAAAGCTTGAATAAATAAAAGTAAAATTAACTCCAAACTAAGGGCAATTTTTCATGGCTTCAGCTCCCGAGGAAGCCAAGGACAAGAAAATAACTAGAACAGATTTTTGAAACAAGAGACTACAGTGCTCATTAGAGTCAGGAGCCTGGGGCTGTATAATCAGAACTGGTTCTTAGGAGAGCTGCCCAGATACAGTTTTTGGTTATCAGCAATCCCACTGCAATTTCAGTGCCTTACCTAATACTTTGTCTTAGAATTACCCAAATTACTATGCCAGTCATAAGGGTTTATCTTCTAAGAATTACCAACATTTTTCCAAGCACAAACACAAGTAGGAGAGAAACTGATTTCTCTCTCACACAAATTTTGGAAGTTAACTAGTCCTCTAGTTTGCCAGACTACCTCACAGTCTTAGCGGACCTCTCTGACTCCCACCAGCAGCCACAGCCCAGCCCTTGTGGGTAATATCACTGCCTGGAGTTGATAATGTGGAGCCCTCAATAGGGTCTGGGGGAGCCCATGCTTCTATGGCTGAATGCTAGGCAGGGATAGAGACTGGGAGGCACACTGGGTGGGCTGGGCAAGGTGGGGATGGGGGGTGCAGTGTGATTGACCTGCCCATTATGGTTATCCAGTAGAAAATGTATTCCAACATATCCAAAATAGATGGAAGAAGAAACCTGTGGATCCTAGCCTGATCATAATTTGAGAGCCAGCTGTTCTATTATTAACTAATTAATTTAGACTCTCCCTTATTCCAAAAGGACTCAAACTAGCCAAAAGAATCTAAAGACATTGTCTGCCTGGGCCTTTCTCACGAGTGGAGGAAATTACAGTTTGTGTTCATTTTTAAATCAGAACCCTCATTGACCAGGTCAATAGCTTTAAAGAAAATATAGTTTCCAAAATTGAGATTTGACATCTTGCTTTTATGGGAAATACTTTTCTCCTTATCCTTCACTTAATTACAAAATTATTCCACCACCTCCTGGCCTTAATTAACATATGCCTGGATGGCCTTTCTTCTGCTATCCACAAATTACTCCTTCCCCTTCAGTGGCCTTGAATACAAGTTGCTCTTTCTCAAACAATTCATGTATCTTAGGACCTGGAGAGCAAGTCAGCAGTCTCTGTTTTCTAAGGACTTCCAGAATTCCCTCCTAGACAATCCAGGCTCCTCTAACATGTCCTTTGAATCTAGCACCCTTCCCATCCTGGTTTCAGCCGGAAATTGACCTGATCTCTCCATTACACTCACTGAAGACTCGGATTTTAGAAGATAATCTTCTGTGGCATCTCAGGTCTTACTACCAACTGTAGCAACTTTATTTTTCTCCCTTTCTCCCTTTACTTGCTTCCCTTTGTACATCCCCTCAACGATATCCTCATCAATACCTGCATTTCCTTGCCCCCTTATAATTTATTTTAGTCATCCAGGAAACACTCAGTATTGGATCAAAACACTTCACCTCCTTTCCATCTCACCTGCGACTGCTAAGTTCTGCTGGAGAAATTCATACCATTCTGTACTGACACCACTGCAGATTCATTTTCCGGTCTCAAGGGCGCCAAGGCTGCCTGGCAAACCGATTTGTCCTGCATTAACACATTCTCCTATTCTTCCGCTGTTTCAAAACTCCCATAAATTTCTGCAAACCCGCTTATATCCAGTTATAATGGCCACCTTAGTGTTTAGTTTCTACAAAGCATTCTGATGATAGATAATTGCGCAGAAAACAAAACTCACTGGGATGAAGTGGCCTAGGAAACATAGAGTTCTAATATAAAACGGGAGAGGGGGTTACAGGGAATAAAGAGCAAATGCTAATACGTGTTTCATTGAAATATTAATCTGCCAGGATATCTCCAGGATACAATTTATAGTTATTGTTTCACTTGAAAACCTAAAGTGTATTTTTAAAGTGTGTGAAAGACAAATTAGATGATTAGATAAATGTGTCACTATCTTTATCTTTTTGTTTGTTAATTCTCACTTGAGGATATTTTCCATTCACTTTTAGAGAGAGTGGAAGGGAGAGGGAGAGACACAGAGAGAGAACATCGATGTGAAAGAGACATATTGATTGGTTGCCTCCTGCATGCATCCCAACTGGGGCCAGGGATCGAACCTGCAACCCAGGTATGTGCCCTCGATCCAGAATTGAACCCAAGACCCTTCGGTGCATGGGCCAATGCTCTAACCACTTAGCACACTGGCCAGCGCTCTGTGCCTACATTTATAGAAAAATAATCTCTCCAACAGAATCAGTTAGACCATACCCTGAGACACTGAAAATTACAGAGAAGGCCAAACCAGAGCTCATGCAGTGGAGAGGGAGGAAGAGTGAGCCACAGTGTATAATAATGGGAGACAAACACAACTTATTTTCTTCTTGAGAAAAAGCAGGCTCTAGATCTGTTTTAAAAAACTAATTTATGTATTTAAACTCTGCTTATTCCAAAAATGGAAAAGAGGCAATGTGAGGCATGTTAACTATCTTCAAATATTTAGAAGACTAGCATGTGGAAGACGAATTAATGATTGGGGCACAATATTTTGGCTGGATGAGTTATGGCACAGTGGTAAGAGCAAAGATTTTGGAGCTGACATCTGAATTTAAATCTTGGCCCTACTCCTTATTAGTTATGCATCTCTGGGCATGTTATTTGGCCTCCCGAGGTCTGCATTTTCCTAACCTATAAAATGAGGATAATAACACTTACCTCATGTGGTCTAGTGAGGATGAAAAGAGATCATGTGTGCATAGCACTTAGCTAAGTGTCTGTATCACATGGTAAGAATTTCCCCCCAACATTTTCGAAGTACCAAGATGAAAAGTGCTCCTTTGGAACAGGAATGTGGAGTGTGAACCTGTTGTCAAGGTTAAGTGGTTCAAGCTTAGGCTCTACAATTCTTGGAGATGTAAAGGGAATTAAACATTGGGAGGGTGTTTTAAACAGATGACCTTTAGTGTATCTGTCATCCCTGAAGCTTTATGATTCTAATAGATGTGTGCCATTAAATGAGGAAACATGGTTGAAGTCGTATGAGACCAGTATATTCTTCCCAAGGGAATACATGTATATATTTGTTGCTGGTGACTTCTCAATGTCCTTATATTAAGGTTACACTTGCTGTGGCCTCTCTTAAATGAACAAGCAAGAGCACAACAATTACCATGTAAAATAGTGAAACTAACAATTAAGATCTGCACTAAGCCCCGTAGGAGAGAAAATCTTCCATTTCTGAATCATGTCTCCTTTAAATTCTGTATTGTCTTGGTATATTATTTTTGTTGAATATACCCTGGGAATTTAGAAGGTTTGTTTTTTTTTTGTTTGTTTTTTGCTTTTTTAAATGCTCCAGACACCACTGAATTTATTCACAGGAAAAAATGAGTAAATTCAAAGGTCATACAGGACCGAAAGATAGCAGGACCAACATATACTACGCAGCTCCATCAAATGACATATCATTGTGGTATTTTCAGGACAAATTACTTCCTGTTAGTTTTCATGAAACCAAATGCCAAGATGGCTAATTCTTTCACATTTGTTTCACTTGGGGAATTTGAGGGTTCTTTTCGGGGGTGCATTGTTGTGTTGCATTATTATCCACACAGGTATATATAAGGCATGTTTTGGGCTCCCTGTCTAGGTCTCAACTGTATCTCATGTACACCTATTAGTGCATATTATTTCACTGAAATGACCAATCATATATATTTTTAAAAAGAGATAGATTATTGACCAGGATTAAGGCTAATAAGAAACTGCTCATATGTACTATCCATGGGGGATAAGGAAGACTGTGAAGAAGCACAATGAGAAAGAATTGCTTGGAAGCAAACAAATCATCTATTCAAAGAGTACTTCCGAACGTAGACATGGGCATCCATTTACACTTTTAGAAAATGCTTTCATTCTGAGCAGAAAAGCTCACTGTATATTACGAGAAAAAACCATTGTCATATTTACCATTTCCTTTCAGGAACAGCTCTAAAAACGCAGCCCAGGTTTCCACGCCAGGGAGATTAGGGTTCTCTCTGTAGTAATGGAATAGAGAAACAGCTGTGTCTTTTGGATTCCTAACGATGTAGATAATCTGTTAAAAAATATAAATTTATTTTTGGGTGAACATAGCCCCACCACAAAACATTTCCTAAAAGAAAGTAAGAGCTGGTACTGGAAGTATCAGGGGGAACGCTTTGTAAAGTATATGATTGTCTAACTACTATGCTGTGCATCTGAAACTAATACAAAATAATATTAAAAGTAAACTGTATTTGAAAAAAAATGTTTAAATAAAAATATATAGAGAAAGTAGAAGCCAAACTTACCCATGACAGGCACGATTTTTTGGCAGGCTCAACTAATTATTAAACACAGACTCAAGCCAGTGTTTCTCGACCCTTAATGTGCATATGAACCAGCAGGGGATGCTGCCAGCTCATCAACCAGGTGAAGGTTGTCTGGGCTGGTCCCTTAGGACATCAGCAAGAGGCAGCTCATGCTCTTGGGAGACCAGGGGCAACCAGAGTCTCAGTCCCCAGTAGGGGTCAAAAGAAAAGGGTTGTACCTAAAGGCTGTACCTTTAGTGTGGTTGTTTAAAGGAGCACCCTAACCTTTTTGAGCTTCAGTTTCTTCGCTTATGAAAAGTAAAATACCCACTCCTCTCACCTTTGTAATGTGTTTACAAAACACAGCTCGATCTCTAGTAGGCATTTGGTGTCAGTGTTATTGCATTGCCCTGAGTAATGGTTATTGAGCTCACCAGACTCTTTTTTTAAAAAATATATATATTTTATTGATCTTTTACAGGGAAGAAGGGAGAGGGATAGTTAGAAACACCGATCAGCTGCCTCCTGCACACCCCCTACTGGGGATGTGCCCACAACCAAGGTACATGCCCTTGCCCGGAATTGAACCCAGGACCCTTCAGTCTGTTGGCCAACGCTTTATCCACTGAGCCAAACCGGTTAGGGCTCACCAGACCCTTTTTCCCCCCAGATCTCTCTCTCTCTCTCTCTCTCTCTCTCTCTCTCTCTTTCTTTCTCTGTCTTAGAGACGGTCTGAAATGAAAATGCTCGGTTGAGTGAAAGTGTAATCAAGTTAGATACACTTTCACCTGTTCTGATAGATTTGCTGGGGATACAGACAAAACTATCACATTTACTTTTCTTTGGGCAGAAGAACAGATGGTGTGCACAATCACATTGTGGTCATAGAGCTATAATCATTGGAAGAGCTGCTTTGGTTTGTGCTCATTTGACTGCTAGGTAATTTTTGTTATTTTTGGAATATGGCTGACATTGTCTAAAGCGGTTTCAGTACTGGGACCTTGTTACAATAAACACATATATCTTGCCTTTGCTTTTCAAATTTATTTTTCTGATCAAAACAGAATTTTTAAAATGCTCCTTATGTAGACATTTGTAAAGAAAATAAAATCCAACTCTAATGTCATATCATAGAAAACCACTTGGCATGTTGTTATATTTACATCTAGATCTTTTTTTATGTGTATATGTATATTTTAATTAAACTGAGATTATTCAGTATACATGTATTTAAAACATGCTTTATACTTAATCTTATTCCATAAGCATTTCTCCATGGAAACATAAATTTGAATATGAAATATATGAAAATATAAATATTCTTTTAAATTATAGCTAACCTTTAAAATAATAACAATGTGGTAACTTTATTTTTAAAATAACTTGAGGTAACTATTTTTTTTAATTGTTTTATTGCTTAAAGTATTACAGAGTATTATATATGTCTCCTTTTTCTTTTCTCCCCTTGACCTTCCCCTAGCCTCCCATACCACCCCCCCCCAGTGTCTGGTGTCCATTGGTTATGCTTATATGCATGCATACAACTAATTTTTATATAAAAATTTTTTATTCCCTTTCTATAATAATCCCTTACACAAATGGTAAAGTAATTAAAATAACATTAAGGCAATATTTCTTTTCCTAGACATCACTATTTAAAGCAAAAACATTAAAACCAAGCTCAGAATGGAATAAGACATTGTCTAGTGTAACTATAGTTCACATTTCTTTCATTACCAACAGATTATTAAAATAATTTGTATAAACTAGGTACTGTGGTCAGACCTTTACATGCATTGTCTTGTTTAATTTTTCCCACACTGTATGAGATTGATACATTATTCCTGTATCAAATGAGGAAACTAAGACTCAGAGAGCATCAGCAATTTCCCAAGGTCACACATCTTGTAAGTGGCAGAGCAAGAATCCAAGCTCAGTTTTGTGGTATTCCCAACCTCCTGCCCTTCACCATTGAACTTACCTTGCATTGCTTTTGTTTAATATCCACTGGTAGCATGTTATAGTTCAAATGTGTTGGAATGACTCTTCTCTTACAACACATTTTTAGCTCTTCAAATTTAGAAACGTCTCCCAATTCAATTGGAGATGTTAGAGTAATTTCAGCATTGGGAATATTCTCAATGACTTTTGCAATCCAGTGAGTGCCTTCACATAAAAATAAAATAAAATTCATTTTTAATTAAATGGTCCTCTTGGTGAAATGAATTTAGAAAATTAGCATTAGGTTATAAAGGCAATGAATGCATTAATTTTATTATAATAGTTAGTTCTACCTCTTGACACCCATTGAAACCTGTTGAAATACTTAAGATGTTAATTCATTAGATAGGAAAAATCACATTTTGAAACATGAAGCAATATGAGAACTGTGTGTACTATTTCCTCAGCTTGAAATACTCTTCTATGCTACCACTCACCTCTAATACCTTCTCTAATTCCCATTAGTCCTGTAAGCACATGCATCTTGCTCTTTTATAAACTGTCTTCTGAGTCCCCACTCCCTTGGAATAATTTCTCACCCTTCAAGTCCCTCCAAAGTAACAGACCCCATTGCTTGTATTTATGTCTATCTTCCCATTTCCTCCTTGAAGATAGACAGTGGATCTTATTTTTGTTTGTGTATAAATACAAAATAATTGTGCAAACAAAGCATCAGAACAATGAACAAATGGCATATTCAGAAACCTTAGAGATGCAAGCCTGCTACCTCAAAGTCTGGAAGGAATACCACTTTATCATATATAATAAAGAGCTAATATGCTTATTAGACTGGATGGCAGAACAACCTTCTGGAACAACCAGTGGGCAGGGCCAAGGGGCAGCCGAGGCCACAAGGGTCGAGCCCCTTGCACGAATTTCATGCATCGGGCCTGTAGTGTTTACATAAACCAAATGTAGATGCGTTCCAATGGTGTAGACCAGCCGTGGGCAAACTACGGCCCATGGGCCGGATCCGGCCCGTTTGAAATGAATAAAACTATTGACAAAAAGACCGTACCCTTTTATGTAATGATGTTTACTTTGAATTTATATTAGGTCACACAAACACTCCATCCATGCTTTTGTTCCGGCCCTCCGGTCCAGTTTAAGAACCCATTGTGGCCCTCGAGTCAAAAAGTTTGCCCACCCCTGGTGTAGACCAAACATGTCAAACTCAGGGCTGGCTGCGAGTTTCACATGCTTGGGTAGACACTGTACGTGGAAACAGGGAAGGAGAAGTTTGGGTGCGGAGGATTTTTGCTAATTTGAAAGCAATGTCCCTGAAGAATTTAAATCTGCCTTAGTTTCCATTTATCTCTTCAAAGTTTTACAGACAAATAAATATTCATAGGTTAAATAGAACTTTCATTTGCATTATATATTTTAAATTTATTTTTTCGATATATTTTTATTGCTTTCAGAGAGGATGGAAGAGGAAGAGAGAAATAGAAACAACAATGATGAGAGAGAATCATTGATTGGCTGCCTCCTGCATGTTCCCTCCCCCTCAACTGGGGAACAAGCCTGCAACCTGGGCATGTGCCTTAATCGAGAATCAAACCGTGACCTCCTGGTACGTAGGTTGACACTCCACCACTGAGCCACACTGGTAGGGGTATATATTTTAAATATAAACATATAGCATTCATGTATGTGACTCATATAGTAGTGACAATTGTATTATTTTAACAAAATATATTGATTCCTTCTAATGAAGAAGAGAGACCACACAGTTTTGTGCTGCTGAAGGAGACCTCCTAGCAGCCGGTGGGAAGATGTCAATTTATGGGCACCAGTATGTACAGTGGAAACCTTATATATGGTTGTTTATGTTAGTATAAATTAACCACCTGTTCCAAGAATTTTAAAAGTATCACTAATTACTTTCTAAACTAATATATTATTTTAAGACAAGATGTAATTATTCACAGAGCAACCTATTATAAAAGGAGAATACTGAAGTATTTTGAAGGCAATCATTTAATTTCCACTTGCAGCAAGATTTTCCAATAAAAGATATATAAATATATGGTTTATATTTATTCTCAAAAACACCCCTGTGTGAGCTCTGCATTATCCAAAGGAAGGGTTTCTTGGGCCAGTGAAGGATTTAGTAAACACACAGCTCAAAGGGAGCTTGGCTCTTAGTTGCTGAATCCAGGAGAGCAGGTATGTGTTCAGCCACACACAGCCACTATTCTGGACATAACAACAGGCAGCTGGATATTATATATCCTAGTCACTTTTAAGAATAAAAAGTAATATATTATTAATTTAAATGATATGGCATAAACTTTAATAATAAAAGTATTTATGGTTCTTATTAACCTAGAAAAATAATATTTATTTATAAATCAATTATTAACTATAAATGGAGCAAATACTATTTATCACCATGCCTGGTACAAAGTACTAAAAAAGATAATTTTATAATATTACAGATATCATGCTTATTATATATGTCAACATTTGTATGTCTTCATGAATAAAATAGAAACAAGAGTGTAGTAAAGCTCTAATTTCTCCAGTTGAATTTTTTCAAAGCACTTTTTTTTTTTGCCTCTCTCCTGTCAAACTTTTTCATTACACTAAGGGTTTAGGACAATTTAATTTCCTGTGGAAAATTCTGAAAAACAAATGATTTGTAAAATTCATTATTATATTTATAATTATTATTGTATTCCTACATTTACAAAATACATTAAAACAAACTTTACCAGATTTTGGATAGGACACCAGAAATACATCATCTTCTCTTGCGTGGAAAGAATCCAGGGAATTCAGAAGTTCTTCTGAAGACAAAGTAGAAAAGAGGGTCCCCTTGAATTTATGAAGAACTCCTGGCTGGTTCTGGGATGACATCTTTCATCAAATCAAGCAAAAATTACTAAACACTAACTCTACACAAAGCACAGAGCAAGTATGGGCACTGATTTTTATCCTAGCTCAGTAGCAATGTAACATTAGAATTATTGAGCTGGTATTCCAATTGGAGAACCATCTGTATATATATATATATACCTTTTGCAATTTTCACAAGTGTAATTTTTAAACCATAACCGAGCCAAAGTTTACTATGAAAATGATGTTATCTGAACTTCACTGATAATGCATATGACCAAATATTTCCTGCACTTGTCACTCAGAATAATTTACATACACAGTTTTCAAGCTATTAAAATGTAGTCATTAAAGGGACTAAAGTTAATTAAATCTCTTGGCCTAAATAAGGAAAGACTTTTAGTGGCTATAATGAATTATATCACAGTGGAAATGACTGGGAAAATTGAACTTCTTGTTAATATAAACACTAGAGGAAGTAGCTAATATTGCATTTCGGGAAGAGAGGAGGAATAGAATGAGGAAAAAATAAATTCTTCTAGGAATTGGCAGACAAATCTGTGACTAACATAAACCTTACAGGAACAAAAGACAACATGACAATCAGGAAACCCAAGCCAAAGAAGAGACATACACAGCTATGATGCACACAGGAAGTTTTTGATGGATTAAATAACTTGTCTGAGTCATTCTTAGTTTTTGTCACTAATATAATCTTCTGGATTCAATTAGATATGTCAATAAAGTGCCCAGTTACTTCAGTGAACCACAGTTGAATCTTTTTTTGTTTGCTGTCTAACCATTAAAAAAATATATATACCAGCCAAAACCGGTTTGGCTCAGTGGATAGAGCATCAGCCTGTGGACTGAAAGGTCCCGGGTTCGATTCCGGTCAAGGGCATGTATCTGGGTTGCGGGCACATCATATATATATATATACCAACAAAGAAATGATCAGCATTTTAACTGAGCACAGAAATTGTAGCGGTCTACCATGTAAGTAATAACTGAATAAGAAAGACATACCTAACAGTGGCAGAAATGAAAGTTAGAATGATTACATATTGTGGACAAAAAAAAGGAGGTTTTATGGGAAGTCACCTCACTGGGTGATCTGATCATAAATCCCTAACTAGGCACGTCTAGTGGGTAGTCATGCCCCAGACATATAATGTTTTAGTAAAAGATTTATCTTTGTCCTAAGCAAACCCTGTCCATTGTCTTTGTGCAGCTATATGAACACACCTTTGAAATAAGCATAATCACCCCCAGAGAGCACATAATCTTAAGTATCCTGCTACTTCCTTCCACGTTTGTGTGAACATCCTTACTTTACCTCCTTAATGTCAAATGCACAAAAGAAACTGCTGTTCTCAGAAACATTTCTCTCAGTCTGCTGAGGTCTTCCTCCAGGTGTATCCTTTGTTTGACTCAAATAAATATTTATAAAAGACTCTACAGGTTTGGACATTTCTTATGTTGACAGCATAGAAAATTCCAAAGAATCTAAAAATAATTAGAATGGCTCTAGCCGGTTTTGCTCAGTGGATAGAGCATTGGCCTGTGGACTGAAGGGTCCTGAGTTCAATTCCAGTCAAGGGCTCATACCTCCGTTGCAGGCTCCCGGTTCTAGTCAGGGAAATGTGGAGGCAACCAATCAATGTGTCTCTCTCACATAGGTGTTTCTCTCTCTCTCCCTCTCCCCTCCACTCTCTCTAAAAATCAATGGAAAAAATCCTTAGGTGAGGATTATAAAAATAAAATAATTAGAATGAATGTGTAAATTGAGTATGGTTTCTGGATGATGAGGTCAACACATGAAAATAAATTGTATTTCTGTATTTTAGCAATGTTTAAGTCCAAATAAGTGAGTAGTTGTTTTTGTTTGTTTGTTTGTGTAATTGGTTTGGGTTTTGTTTTATTTGCTTATCTGTTTCTTTTTTTCCAACACAATGCTCTTAAAAAAAAGGTGTAGGTTTTCTGTGAATATTATTGGTGCTCCCTTCATGAGACAGAAGCCACACCCATAAATATCTTCATGATAAGACATATTCTCCTTTGGAAGGAGCATCAGGGAGCTTTGAGATGATGCCTTTGAGATTCTTAGAAGCTTTTCGTCTAGCAGATAAGGTCTGAGAGACATACCCTTGGTATTCTTAGAAGCCTATTGTCTGCCTGGGAGGTCTATGAGACCCAAACATATTATGATCTTTCTGAGCTGTCAACAAAGGATCTCATGGCGACACTCTGGACTTCATCTTTACCCCACCACCATGTTTTGCTGGTAGTGTCATGGATGTGATCTTTGTTCTGAAGCCATTTCTTACTTTGAGAACCTGTTGCCAGCTAGAAAAACTGTCTTGGACCCTATTTCCACAAAATTTTAATACAAAACTCAACAGTTCCTTCTTCATCAAACTCTTTCTTCTCTTTTTGTTCATGGGCACTAGGAGAGGTCAGTTATCATTGTCAAAATTCTGCCTGAAAATCTCCTTAGCAAAGCCACATGGTTGTTTAGTACTCTACCCATTTTCCATACTTACTCAAGGGTTGGTGTTGCTAATTGGTCTGCCATTCATAACTCACACCCTCTTTTATCCGGCCTCCAATAGTCACTTTCTCAATGACCATCAAGAGTTTGAAAAGTTCCCCCCTGGTCAGCGTGGCTCACTTGATTGGGCACCATCCTGTGCACCAGAAGGTTTCCAGTTAGATTTCAGGTTAGGGCACATACCAAGATGGCAGGTTTAATCCCTGGTCAGGGTAAATACGGGAGGCAGCCAGTCAATGTTTCTCTCTCACATCAATGTCTCTCTCTCTCTCTCCCTCTCTCTCTCATCAATAAAAACATATTTTAAAAATGAGTATAAAAACAAAAGAGTTTGCAAAGTTTCCTCCTGGCCTATCAAGCTTCTGCTCACATCCAGTCTCAAAGTCATTCTTACCTGTTTCAACATAAAAATGTCCAAACCTGTATTTTATGAGCTTACTTGATGCAAATTGATGACACATGTTGAAGAGCAAGATCTCAAATGCTCTGGAGAATAACAGTTTTGCAGCTTCTTTTATGCATTTGAAATTAAGGAGAGAACTAGGAAGATAACATGGAGGTAGGAAAAAGTATGACAGGATAGTTAAGATTGTATACTCTCTTGAGGGTGGTTAGAATGTGTTAAAGGTGTGTTCACCTAGTCCGTGGTCGGCAAACTGCGGCTCTCGAGCCACATGCGGCTCTTTGGCCCCTTGAGTGTGGCTCTTCCTAAGCCTTAGGAGTACCCTAACTAAATTAATAACAATGTACCTACCTATATAGTTTAAGTTTAAAAAATTTGGCTCTCAAAAGAAATTTCAATTGTTGTGCGGTTGATATTTGGCTCTGTTGACTAATGAGTTTGCCGACCACCGATCTAGACAAGTCTCAACTGGGCTGACTGGGCACTTCAAGTCTCTGCCACGTATCTGTTCCATGCCAGTAGGCTACCTCAGGAGTGTCCTCATGGAGACGACAGAAACACAAGAAAGAGCAAGGCCTCTCGAGTTGTAGACTTAGAAGCACCATACTTGCACTTCTGCTTCATTCTATTACCCAAAGCCAGGCACATGGTCAAGTCCAAAGACAGAGGCAAAGGAAACTTCAAAGTTAGATGCCCAAGGGGGTAGATGCAGAGGGGGTAAACGATCATTCAACCCATCAGCAAGACCTATCAATTCTACCTTAGAAATACTTTCCACACCTGTCCAATACTCCTTCTATCTTATTGCTACCACCACTTCAGTTCACCATGATCTCTCTTACCTATCAGCACCTGACTGCTCTGTCCAAATCTTTCTTGTCCATTCCTTCTCAGACCATTCTCAATGCAGCAACGAGAATAAACTTAAAAAGAAAACCTGCTCTGACCACTCATTTAATTAAGTCTGCCAAATGGTTTCCTATTGTTCTCAGGATAAAGGTGAAACTGACTAAGGCTTAGTCAATATACCCATCTCTCTCCCAATATTCTATCTTGATGTTCTCACCATCTTTTAATGTAAATAAACATGTACACGTGGTTATGCTAGGGTGAGGTGAGAGTAGTATACAGGTGTGACAACTCATCCGAGAGGTTTTTGAGCCCAAGTCTGAGATACGACTGTTAAATTGGCTTTGCAGAGAAGAAATCTAAGAGGTCAGAGGAATGGGATGGAAAACATACACATGGTGCAACTTCTTCACTAAGTTAGGCAACCTGCTCTCTGGAAAGGGACTATTAAGCCAAGACATTCTTCAAGACCGAGGCTGACCAGAGATGCCTTTTAGTCCACAGGGACTTATCCTGTTCCTCTTTCAGAGTTTGAGGAGGCTGATCAGGAGCGAGGCACCATCACCTTATTCCTGTCTCTTCTCCCCAATTTTCTCAGGGGAATATTTCTGAATATTAGAGACATGGAAAAAAATGACATATTCTCCTTTTCTCTCTCCTCATGTGGGGTTTTCACAATGTAACTACAGGGGCCCTTAGAATTCTTTCTCTCTCAGTGATCAACAAGAGGCAAATGTGAGTGCTTTAACCTCAACAAGTGGTCTCAGTTGAATCTACCAGAAAAAAAAAAAAGGTGTAAGAGTGAATTTTGCCCTATCACAATAATTTAGATCTTCACCCAAAACCAATACTTCCATCTTTGGAACACATCATAATTCCTGAACTTGTACACTATTTCAAGCTTCTTGGGTCTTACCTGGACTGCTCTGTGTCCAAGTAGAGTTGTTTTCCCCTCCATTTGGTATGGATTCCAAACCCTCTGCCTTGTGCCGAGAGAGAGAGAGAGAGAGAGAGAGAGAAGAAGAAGGAGAAGAGCACAGATTGGTTTGGCTCAGTGGATAGAGGGTTGGCCTGGGGGTTGAAGGGCCTGAGGTTCGATACCAGTCAAGGACAAGAGAGAAAGAGCAGGAGCAGGTTTTTGGAGCAGGAGCAGGTTTTTGGAGGGAGAGGATGAATTTGCTGAATTACAAACCACTCCTAAAATTAGTGTCTTAAGACAGTAATGTATGTTATCTCCTGGTTTAATAATGTCACTGGGCTCAGCTGTTCTCATTTGAAGTTCAGTTAAAGCACCTTTCAAAAAGCTTAGCTTGAACTGAGTAGGAGGCCAAGGAAATGGAAAGGCATTTTCATATATAGGACTGTGACGAAAGAATGTTTGGAATTTGGCATCAGGATGTGGGGTGTAAAGAAAAATATCCCAACATAATGTGCAGTATTGTTTATAAAAACATAACGAACTCAAGGAAAGAAGGTATTTTTTTCCCTGTAGTTTTTTTTTTTTAAAATGGTAACTTTAAGTGCCAGGATAAAACAGATTCCAGAACAGGAAATGTGAAAAAATAAGAACAGTAACCAGCAGAAGAAAAAAAAAATCAGATAAGAAGGCAATATCAGGTAAGGTTCATAGGTAATGCAAGCAATAAAGTCATAAAGAGTGCAGTGTCAACATAAGAAATGTCTAAACCTGTAGAGAATTTTCGTAAGAGTTTATTTGAGCCCAAACTGACGTCAATTATTGGGAAGCAAGATTTCAAATGCTTCCAGGATTACAATTTGCAATTTTTTCTTTGACTCATGTACTTGGACTTAGGAGGGAATTTTAAAAAGATTACATGAAAGTGAGAGAAAGCAAGGCAGGGATGGGGGTTGGATTACAGAATACTTAACAAGATGATGTGCTCTCCTGAGGGTGGTTATGCCTTGCAGGAGGGTTACTGCTGGCATTTCAAAGGCGTTGTAACTCCGATGCACCAGAACAAGGGACAGGGCTTGCTTAAAACTTTTACCTAAAAAGTTAAATGCCTGGTGCATGGCTACCCCGACACCCTGTTAGAAATGTATGTATGAGGTTACTTTCAGTAGAACGCCCCCCCACTCCTTTTGGTCCACAGTAGATATAAGTGAACATGTAGCAATGTTGTGATACTAATATTTTTATAAATTTATTTTTCTTTTAGAACACTTTCTTATGAAGGAACAGTGGCTCCAAGGAACAGAACCAGAAAATACTCTTTTAACATACTTTATTCAACACTTACCATGGGCCAAACATTCTTCTGGCTACAGGAAATTAGACTCTGAATAAGACAGAAAAGGACATGATTTCATAGTTCAGGGAGACAGATAATTTAAAAAGAAATCAACAAGAAAATATCTAGTAATGATACATAAAATAGCAAAAGCAAAAACATGGTGATACAAAATAGAACCACGGGGAGGCTACTTTAGTTTGAATGGTCAGGGAAGGTTTCATTGGTCCTCATTGAGAGTAAAAGCATGTATTATAGAAGCAAGTGAAAAGAATATCGCCTCAGGCCAAAAAGTACAGATATTGAGGAATTTGCAAAGAGAGCTCTGATACTGTTATTGTTCTCACCAGGAGAGCAAATTCTCAGCTGAACACAGATATATATAGCCATGATTAAAATGCAGTGTTAGTGAGTGGAAATTTGTTTTTTAATTTGTTTACCTCATTGTTTTATTTTTCTCTCATGGAGTGTTTGCTTGCCTTTGCTATATGTTGAGGGAGGTTTTTGGCAAAGATGAAATAATGGGGAGCTGGCTTACTTTCCAATTTGAAACAACTAAAAAACAAAACAAACCAATAAAAAATTAGGGTGTCTCCCCAAAATGTAGTATACACACACTTTGAATTATTATAAAGGCAGTGTTTATTAAAATACATTTCATTTTCAAAATTGAGCTATCCGCTGTTAAAGTGTGTATATATTTTTTGGGACACCCTGTGTATATGAAGATATAAGGAGCAATGATATTCAAGACATTGGACATTGGGCAAGGATAGTTTATCCTAATGATACTACCACATATTTCTTATTAAATGACTAAATCTAAACAGCTAAAATTAAAGAGTGTCCATGCCCAGTTTTAGTGAGAATGTAACAGAATTAGAACTCTCATAACCACAAGAAGGAAAGTAAAAAAGTAATAATATTAAATATATCTTAAATGTTAAACATATCCCTGCTCCATGATCCAGCCATCCTACTCTTTGGTGTGAGAAATGAAAACAAACATTCACACAAAGGCTGTTACATGAAAGACCAGAGCAGGTTGATTTGTGATAGAAAAAACTGGAGAAAAAATAAGTCCACCATCAGGTAAATAGATAAATAGTTTATGTCATATTTATCTGATAGAATAATGTTCACGAAAAAAAGAAGGAATGAACAATTGATACATTCAACTACATGGATGAATCTCAAAATAGTTTAGCTGATTTAAAAAAAATCCAGAAAACAAAGAGTACATATTGCGTGATTTTATTTATAGAAAGTTCTAAAAAGTGTAAACTTGTCTGTAATGACAGAGGAGTGGTTTCCTAGGGCTGGGAAGGAGGCCCCGAGAAGCAGGAAGGAGAAATACAAAGTGGCACAAGGAATCTCTTGGGTGTGATGATATGCTCACTACGTTGACAGTGGTGATGATTTCATAGGTGTGTACATATGATGACTGTATACTTCAAATCCGGGCAGTTTATTACACTCCAATTACACCGCAATGAAGCTGTTAAAATTATTGAGGAAAAGGTTTCAATTCCAGAACCTGACCATCAGGGATCCAGGTAACACTCTTTGCTATTTAATGTGTGTGTGTTCAATATAAGGTAGGTCTTGAATATTGTTACTGAAATTATCTAATGAATTACTTATCTTTATAAGTTGTTAGACGTCTTTGTAGTTATAAAATTGTTTAGTAGTCTTCATAATGCAAAACTATTGGAAATACCATGTAATTATCTTGGTGTCTTTCTTGCAAAAGTTTCTTATTTTTATGCTTGTCCTCTCAGTGGCTAAATATGTACTATTTTCTCCACCCTCCGTGCCTGCCACTTCCATCTTCTGCCTCATGCCCTTCAGTCTGCCATTTCTACCAACCAAAAAAAAATGTAGCATGTCAAAAGGCAGACTCAGCCAAAACATTACAGACTTTAAATATCAGGGCTTTATTTCCTCATTTTGCTCTTGATTCAGAGATACACTTTAGGCAAATGAGATTCAGTTTTGGAAACTATTTTATACCCGGACTGTGGGTGTTTTTCTTTGGTACTGAAAATTAATTGCCTTTCTTCTTTTGAATCTCACACACATATTGATTCATAGCTATGAAAAAGCTCAGCGAGGAATATGAAGTACTGTTGGGACTGAGTAGGGAGAGAGCATTAGATGTTTCAATCAAGCAGATCCTGCTTTATTGCATCGCTCAGTTTGTATACCATGCTCACACCCACTGTGAAAGATTGCTAAAAGCAGCAGTAACACCTAATGAAGTCAGTGCTAACTGAAGAATCAACGCTGTCAAGTTTCCTTGTTTTCTCATGAGCTTTGGAAAAGACACATGGCAGAGGAAAAAGTTAAGATGGTACGGGAGGTTTTTGCTAACATGGAGAGGAAATTCTTTGGAAGATACAGAGTCCTTGTCACATAAGGTTTGTGAAAAGTTATTTGCTACTAAGGTTAAAACTCACAAAAATGAGATTCCTGTAGGTACTACAATTCTGACTTTTTTATTCTCTTTTTAAATTCTGCCATTTTTGAGGGCTTAGTAGATTGGCATAGTGGGAACAATAAAAAAATTTAGAACCGATAGTGTATTTTATTTAAAATTAGAGGAATTCAGTTTTATTTATAATCTATGTATATAGAGGCCATCTAGCTTGTGAATAAAAATAGGACTGCCCAGCCAGCGTGGCTCAGTGGTTGAGCACCGACCTATGAACCGGGAGGTTACAGTTAGATTTCCAGTCAGGGAAGGCAGTGATCAGTGGTTCTCTTTCATCATTGATAATTGATGTTTCTATCTCTCTCTCCCTCTTCTTCCTTCTCTGAAATCAATAAAAATATATTTTAAAAAACCCAAAACTAATACATCTAATTTTCTTTGTTTAGTCTACCCTATGGATACCACCGGTATCCTCTATTTCTAGACACAAATATGTACATACCATATGATTCCATTTATATGAAGTGCTGGAGTACACAAACCTAGTCTATAGTGTTAGAAAGCATTTCAGTGGTTGCCTGAGCCAGGATTTGGAGGGACTTACAGAAAAGGGGAAGAAGAAACTTTCTAGAGTGATGTAAATAGTCTATGTTTTACCTGGTTTGTCAAAACTCATCACACTGTGCACTTAAAATGGACTCATGTTATTGCTTTTGAGTTCTACTTCAATAAGGTAATTAAAAAAACACAATATTAAGATGCAATTTTTCACCTATCACATTGGCAGCAAATTAAAAACTTTGACAACACACTCTGTTGGTGAGGCTAAGGTACTCATATAGCTTGGGGAATAAAAAGGTGGTTCCGTTTCTAAGGAGGGGAATCTTATGCCTCTTGAT